GTAGTAGGCGGACGGGTCGTACAGCCCCCCAACCCCGCCTCGCAGCTGAGGCCTCCAATAAATAGAACCGCTTGTCTGCATGCCGGGAGGGTGGGGCGGGGGGGAGGAAGAGGAGGGGGCGGGGAAGAGGAGGGGGCGGGGAGGAGGAGCCAGTTTCCTTGAATATTATGCAGTCCTGTCAAATTGTTTGAACCCTAAGTAAAATACGCAGCGTTTTTTGTTCCCAAAGTAACACGTCCTGTTGACTTGCCTATCGTCTCCGAAGACAAGCTCTGTTTTTTCTATTGCAACGTGTAGTATACTCGTACTAAACAGTTTTCAGTTTTCAGCTTGTAATCAGATATCATGTAAGCTACTTCTTGGGGGTGAGATTTATTATATGGGTCGCCTGATTTCCTTTTTCTTATCACCACCACGACACGATCTAGTAGCCCAATAGATAGCTCAGGACGGGGCGAGGGGGGAATTGGTGCACGTGAAAGCAATTCACGCGACCAGGGAGTTCTTCTCCTGCGCGGTGGAGGAAAGGATTCGGCCAGTTCAGTGCTCACGAAGAGTAATGGTTGTGGAAAACACACGAAGCGGGCGCTGGCAAAGGTAATGGGGAGCCGAGTCTACCCAACTACCCGCCCAACTACCCGGCCATCTAACTGCCCAACTACCCACCTAACTACCCGGCCATCTAACCGCCAATCACAAACCCAACTAGTCCCCCAACTAATCCCTCTAGTTGAGGGCCTCAGCTACCTACCTACCTAACCACCCAACTACCCGCTCAACTAACCACCTAACTACCGCTCAACTACCCACCCACCTGCCGCGAAGAGGCTCATGAAGACAAAGGGCATCACCAGAAAGAAGAACACCATCGCGAACAGCAGCGTGGAGCGAAGGAAGATGCTGGTGGCGTCAGACTGGGGGGGGGGGAGGGGAGTGGACGCAGGGGCCGGAGGGAATAGAGAGGGGTTTTTAGGGAGTTTACCAAAATCACGTGATATCAATAATCACAATGTGTAATGAAAATGTATAACATTAATATTTACTTAGCCCCGGGTACTTAGCCCCGGTGTTACTTAGCCCCGGTATGTAGGCGCTGCATAACACACATGTGGAAAACCCAAAAATCTGACACGACATGGCGACGAGTCGCGAAGAACACAACGTTCCTACTACGTCCTTAATCTGCCCAGCATCTCGCCCAGAATATGATGCCGTACCGTGACCTGCTATGTCGTACCTCCAGATCGTACGCCAGGAAGGCCGCGAAGAGGGCGACCCACACAAAGGTAAGCATTCGTCCCGCCGCGTCAGCTGGGTTACGGGTGGCAATGAGCCACTCCCGCCACACCAACATGCGGTACTGCCGTACCCAGCGCCCTGCTGCCGCTGCCAGCGCCGCCGCAGCAGACTTCCGAGGCCGCGGCGGCGGCTGCGGCGGCGGCCAGCCTGCAGCGCCCGGCGGTGGCGGCGGCGGGTATTGCGCTGCCCGCTGGATTATGCAACTGCTTGCGGAGCTGGATGAAATGACACTGGCGGCCGCAGCTGTAGCTGGGATCGGCATTGGCATTGGCGGCGGC